ATGGAGATTTCTGGACCTACTAAACATAGAACTTCCATATGATCCAGCAATTCCACTCCTAGGTATTTACCCAAAGGACACAGAAACATCAATTCCAAAGAACACCTGCACCCCTATGTTTATAGCAGCACTGTTTACAATAGCTAAGCTTTGGAAACAACCCAAATGCCCAAAAATAGATGACTGGATCAAGAAGATGTGGTACATATATACCATGGAATATTACTCAGCATTCAAAAAAGATAAACACATGCAATTTGCAGCAACATGGATGGCGCTGGAAGGGATCATGCTCAGCGAAATAAGCCAAAAAGAAAAAGAAAAATACCGGATGGTCTCACTCATAGCAGGAATCTAGAAAACTTAAATAAGGGACCAGGAAAATGAATAACTATAAGAAAGTGAAAATCAAAATCAACAAAAAACTATGAACCAGAGACACTTTTAGGGGGGCGGGGGTGGGAGGGGAGGGATTGGGGTCAGAATGGGGGGGCTGCAATTGTATGGGGAATATAACAATAAAATTTATTAAAAAAAAAAAATTTAAATGGAATTCTTTACAGAAAACTAATTTTAAAAAATCATTAAATTTATTTGGAACAAAGATCCAAATAACAAAATCACCCTTGAGGAAAAAATAAATACACAATGGGGGTATTATGCTCATCATTTCAAAATGTACTACAAAGTGATAGTAGTAAAAACAGCTTAATACTGGAACAAAAGCAGACACACAGATCTATGAAACAGAATTGAAGGCCAAAAGTAAAATCTCACACATATGGATCACTAATTTATTACAAAAGTTTCAAGAGTTTACCCGGGAGAAAGGAAAGTCACTTCAATAAATGCCTTTGGGAAAATTAGACAATTGAATGAACAAAAATGAAAGTAGATTGAAATGCAACATTAGGCACACAAAATTAATTCAAAATGGACTTAAAACTTGCATGTAAGGCCTGGAGCCATAAAATATATAAAAGAGAGCATAGGTGATGTTCTCCATAACAAAAGTCTTAGAGATGCATTTGTGATGACTCTAATATTAAGAGAAATAAAAGAAAAAGTAAATATATGAAACTAGATCAAATGTAAAAGTTTTGGAAGGGAGAAAGAAATTTGCAACAAAATTAAAAGACATCTGACTGAATAAGAGAAGATATTTGTAAACCATATGTCTGACAAGGTGTCAATATCCAAAATATAAAAACAACCCATAAACTCAACAACAACAACAAAAAAACTCATTGAAAAATAGGCAGAGGATCTGAATAGACACTTTCTGAAGAAGAAATACAATTGACTAATAAGCATTTTAATTATTTTATTTTAAACTTATTATATAAGAACTGGGGTACAGGTCAGAGGTCGGGAGGGTGAGAGAATTCACCAGAGACAGAGTGGGGAGTAGAACAGGCAGAGGGACCGAAGACACTGCTGAGAGGAGCAGTGGGGAGGCAGGAGAGGTCTGCCACACCATGTGGGTTTCTTCCTGGCCAGCTGGGAATTGAACCTGTGCTTCAGAGGCTGCAGACAGCTTCACAGCACGGCGCTCAACCTGCGGCCCCACCGGGGAGGCCAAAGCATTTTAATTATTTTAAACGTACAATTAAGTGACATTATTGGTACTCAAGATGTTGTGTAATAATCACCATCATCCAAAAAGTTTTCACCACCCCAAAAAAATCTATAACTATTCAACAATAACTTCCCATTCCCCAAGTAATTTCTAATCTATTTTATATTTCTATAAAGTAGCTTATTTTAGATATTTCATGTAAGTGGAATCATAGAATATTTTCCATCTTATGCCAGTCTTATTTCACTCAATATTGTGTTATCAAAGTTCATCCATGTGGTAGCAGGAACACATAATTTATTCCTTTTTGATGACTGGGTAATATTCCTTGTGTGTATAAATCACATAAAAAACTATCTGTTAAAGTGCACTTTCATTGTTTAGAACAATTGGCAATTGTGAGTAATCCTAAAATGAACACTTATGTTCATTTTTTGAGTCCTGTTTCAAAATTTTCATATCTATATTCATAAGTAGAATTACTGGACCATATGTTATTTCTATTTTTAATTTGTTTAGAAACTGCTAGACTATTTTCTGCAGAATTTGCACCATTTAATTTCCTACCAGCAGTCTATGATGCTTCCAATTTTTTCATATTCTTGTCAACATTTGTCAATTTTTGTTTTAATTACAGATATTTTGGTAGATGTGAAGTGGTATCTCATTTTATTTTTAATCCGTACTTTGCATATTTACTTTGGATAAATGACAGGTAAATGTGGGCCAAGATAACAATTATAGATACAATTATTTTTTTCCAGAGTGCCTCAGTGCAAGGAAGGGTCACAATGATATTTATTTAAATAGAGTTTACTGGCATAGAAACATGTCTACATTGGCCTTTAGATATTTTTGCAAATAAGTGTGGCAGAAAAGGAACTAAGATTACAAAATAAAAGATTGTATATTAATTTGTCTGCATTTATCCAGTGGTAAGAGACAAAAGAAGTGAGTAATGGGGTTTCTATAAGTTGTAGAAGTGATTTCAGGACTATTCAGTGTGGATGGGGCCAAGAGAGTTTAATTAAAATCTTCTGGGTCCCTCATGATTTTGACTAGTTGCTAAGAAACCCCTCATCCATGTTCAAAACTCTTCCTTATATACAGACGCAGTAGGGAACTTTAAAGTTGGTGACCAGCAATTTTCTTCTCAAGTTTGAGCTAGATAAATGTGTGCCGTACCTCAGAATGATGCAGACATTGCTATTAGTTTTATTGCAGGATTAACACACAGACATAAATTCAGACAAATTTACAAATGAGAAGGGGTGTTTGCATTGCAGAGACAAAAGAGAAACATGCAAGTCCATCCCAGAGATGTCCACATTTAGGCAAATGGTCATAACACCAAATGGGTCAGTTTGTGACACTGACTGAGAGCTGTTACAGAGGATGCAGATAAATGAAGAGAAATCACAGAGCACAAAACCCAAAGGAATGAGACTTGCATCTCAGGGCAAGAAGGCAGTTGACGAGTGATAAGTGGTGAGGGAGAGTGAGAGTGATATAAAGAATTGACAATATTCTTCCATTATCTGGTCACAGCAGAAGAGGCTCTAAGCAACAACTGGTGAGTAAAATATCACTTTTCCCAAGTTCACCCCCACCATCTTGCACTACCAGCTTATCCAATAACAATCATTCAATCCCATCGCCCCTATATACTCATGTATGCACTTCCTCTTGCAATGCCCTATCTGTTCTTGTATGGTAATGCTCACTTATCACTCCCTATGCTTCATTAATTCAGACATTGTGATTGTTTTAAAGGGTTCCTATTCTAATTTTTATTATCCTTCTAGAAGCAAAGTTCCACCCACTTTAGAATCTGTAAATGATACATGGATTGAGGAGGCATAGATGCAAGAGGAGGAAGCACCCTCCAGAAATCAAAGTCCTCATTGACTAGTCTATCTTCAGTACACCTCAGCTGATACAGCCTTCCTGTTACAAATGACCCTGCAGACTTACCCTTTCGTTGGGATTTAGCAGCATAAGCCACAGCTGCTTCCTGCACTGCTTGCCAACGGTGACATGCAGGATGCAGTGAGCTGATCATGAGCTTGCTGTTATAAAATAACATTTTTGAAATAAGCTAACCCTATTTTTCAAAGAACCACAAGCATTTCTCTAATGCATGGCTTGAGAACTTTTTGCTTCAAAAATATGTAATATTTAAAAAATAATGATTTTGAATAGAGAAGTTTCATATGAGGCTTGAGAGACCACTATTCAGAAAATTCAGTCATCAGTAAATTTAGAAGAGCTCAGTTTTTCTTCAGTTGTTCTATAACCCTATCCCAAATCATTTCTGGGAACCATTTATTTCTGGGAACCATTTCTGGGAACCAATATCTCATTTTTGTTCCTATTTTTGACTCCTTTTAAGGGACCTGTTCTCTCAAGACTGTTGTCTGTTAATTTCAATGCTTGAGCTCACATAATGACACAAGTGTTCCAGATCATACTAAGAAGTAGTGAGTCTAACTTGTCCAAGTCTCATGCTAATGGTAGCTCTAACCGTTTAACAGCAAGGGAAAACACAGACTGTATGTCATCAGGAATGCGTCCTAGTGCCCCTCTGCATTGCTTCTGCCAATTGTGTTGCTGCTGCCTACAAACTTCTCTCCTCTGTTCTGTCATGCATGTTACAGAATTTCTGCCATTTTAAGCATAGAGCTAATTTTAATGATTTCAGTTGTTAGAATATAGGCAAAATGAGGAAAGTAGCTAGGAAGTTTGATCCAGGCTTGGCCAAAATACTCATACTTGAATAATCTCTTTAAAGCTCTTCCTTCATCTTTTGAAAAGGCCTCTAGTTTAAAATAAAGTTATGTAGCTAGATAAGGTGTACAAATGAATTATGCATTTTGGTGACAACTGTTTCTATTTATATTCTCCATCATAGGAAGACTTTTCAACTAATGTACTGGTCAGAGTACATTAGAGAATTTGCTGGACCAAACCATCTGTTTCTGGCTTAGAGACAATTTGGAATAATAGTGTATTAGAGGAATAGCAGTCATGTGGGATATGGAAAATTCACTGAACTGTGAAATAGAATTTTCAAGTGAAAAAGTAAACCCAATTTTTCCCCCCAAAAGATCTACAAAGGAAATAGGTGATACGTTTATTTCCTTATGCAGGTATTGTGCTGATTCTGTGCAACCGACCCAGGATATACATAGCACGTTATGTTATGTATCACAATGATTGCGGATGCCCTTCCTGACATGGTGATATATCTCTGAATATTTCTCTTCAACAGAATGAATAAGAAAGACAATGTTATCTAGACAGTCTACCAAAATCAGAAAGACTGAGTATGAGAAAATTGGGTAAAAATAGGAAGTAGAAGAGGAACAACAGCACAAAGTGAGAAGTTACTATAGTGGACACCAGGAGGCTCAACAGCACCATGTCCCTTTCCAACAACACCATCTTCATGCCCTCTGTGTTGACCCTACTAGGGATCCCGGGCCTCGAGTCAGTGCAGTGCTGGATTGGGATTCCATTCTGTGCCATGTACCTCATTGCTCTGGTCGGAAATTCCTTACTTCTGCTGGTCATCAAATCAGAGCGCAGCCTCCACGAGCCCATGTACATTTTCTTAGGCATGTTAGGGGTCACGGACATTGCACTTGCTACCTGCATTGTGCCCAAGATGCTTGGGATCTTCTGGTTTCATGTGCCCGAGATTTATTTTGACTCCTGCTTGCTTCAGATGTGGCTCATCCACACATTTCAGGGCATAGAGTCAGGAATTCTGCTGGCCATGGCCCTGGACCGATACGTGGCCATTTGTTATCCACTGAGGCATTCTGCTATCTTCACCCACCAGCTAGTCACCCAAATTGGGGTTGTGGTAGTCCTCAGGCCTGCTGTTCTAGTAGCTCCGTTTTTGGTAATGATTAAGTGCCGATTATGGTTTTATCACACGACAGTCATCTCCCACACCTACTGTGAGCACATGGCCCTTGTGAAAGTAGCTGCAGGAAATGTCCAAGTCAACAAAATCTTTGGGTTGTTTGTGGCCTTCACTGTTGCAGGCGTTGACCTCATATTAATCATATTGTCTTATTTCCTGATATTCGTCACAGTTTTTCGTTTGCCCCAGAAGGAGGCTCGGTTGAAAGCATTCAACACTTGCATTGCCCACATTTGTGTCTTCCTCCAGTTCTACATTCTTGCCTTCTTTTCTTTCTTCACACATCGGTTTGGCTCTCACATCCCTCCTTACATCCACATCCTCTTTTCTAGCATCTACTTGTTGGTGCCTCCATTTCTCAATCCACTTGTCTATGGTGCAAAGACCAAGCAGATCCGCATTCACTTAGTAAAAATGTTATGCTCATAAAATCTATCTGATTAAAATCTGAGAAAGCATTCTTATCATTTCTATTCAAATGAATAAGTGAAAAAACTATGGATCAAATAAAAAATAATGTCTAATAATTCCATTAAGTTTTCTGTCTCACTCCAGGAGTTACAGGTGCACAAGTTCTGTAGATCTATATTTCTCTGTTAAAGACGACAGAGAGAGGGCCTCCCTGGTGGCACTAGGGGTTAAGCCTCAGCATTGTGACGTTCTCTGCAGCACGAGTTCCATCCCTGCTGGGGAGCTACCCACATGGTGCAGCAGACCTCTCCTGTCTGGCCTGCTGCTCCTCTCAGTAGTGTATTTCAGTAGATCCACCTGATGTGTCTGGTGAATCTTCTCACCCAATCCCCACACTCCTTGTATGCATAAATAAATCAATCTTTAAAAAAAAGATGACAGAGAAGGGGGATGGTGACATACTTTAAACAACAGTAAAATGGTTTACATGAAGTGTGAGACTGAAGTGGAAGCAGCTATTGGGAGAGTTCATTGGTTTTATTTATTTATTTATTTTTTAACTAGGCCGTCTGATTCTTGAGGAATGATGAATGAGTGACCACACAAGTAAGGACAACATGTAGGTAGATTTGGGAGGAGATTTAAACTAGAGAAATTTGTTTAGAAACTGCACAATTTATTTTCATTGTAAGGTAAATTTGAGGATGCAATGATATATGAATTCTAATAATGACCTGGGACAATGTTGAGTTTTATTATGAAAGCTATAATGTGTGTGTGTGTTTGTGTGTGTGTCCATGTCTATTTGGGCATGTGCCAGCATATGTTCTCACTGGATGTAAAACTGCATGCATTTAATTTCAAGGCTAGTTTATCAATGAAGACATGGAGTGTTATGTCTAAGTCTAAGGTCTTTAGACTAGTGGACTCTTCATGAAAACCTCAGTTCAATGACCATTTTTTAAGATCATGGAAAATATTCACATGCATGAAGATGCACAGGCTCTATGACATTAAAAAAAGTATATACATAAGAAATAAAAAAAAATTGAAAAAAAATTATGTCATGTAGATTATGGAATTTCAGGCTTGGCTTTATTACCTAGGCCTTCTCAATAAAAAAGGAGATTACTCTGGAAATTAATGGTTACCTTAGGGCATCTTTTGATCTGTTTGAAATACCAGTATTTAGAGGATATGATTATATTGTATTATCAATAGGGGCATTGTTCTTAACATAATTTCCTTAGGAATAAAACTAAAATAACATAGGAGGTATTTTGTTAAATAAACCTAGCCAGGCTTTATCAAACTTTTTTATAAATTATTAAATGAATTAGTTTATGCATTGTGGACAAATGGCAATTCAAGCATATTATGTAGGTATTTATGTAACAGAAGACAAAACACAGTTCTATAAAAAGATTTCTATCAATGTAATATCAATGTTATTAATAATAGTGAAATGATTGTATAGTTTTTTAAAATACGTATTTACTAATTGGAAAAATGCAATTTTTTTTTCATAAGGAAAACATTCTGCTTAAGTGAATGTTAATTTTTTTCTACTATCAAATTGATTGTAACTGCACACGTGAAAAAACCATTCTTAACTAGTGGCCTATCAAAATCCAGTCGCAGCCCAGCTTAAGTGAGAATTTATAATCCAAGCAAGGTAAGAGTTTATAATCCAAGCATATTTGGAGACGTTTGAAATATGTCTCCAGTAATTGTTAATCACTACTTTTGAAAGTTATTATGAAAATGTGTGGGGATAGTTGACATGAGTCAGAATGTGAAACTAATAAATATTTGCACCATATTAAATTATCACTCTCAAATAAAATATCTAACCCAGAGTCCAGATTCTCCCATCATTGTGGTCTTCAAATCATCTTTCACACTGAAACCAAGAAATGTGAAAAAAAGAAAAGAAAAAAGATTACAAGAACAAAAGGATAACTTTGCCTATCTTTCTTTCCACACACTTGGAGCAGGATAATTATAGGATGAATTTTTTTTAATTTTTTTTAAGATTTATTTATTTATTTATTTATACGAGCACTGGGTACAGTTAGAAGTGCTGGAGGGTGAGAGAATTCACCCAGAGCCAGAGCGGGGAACAGAAGAGGAAGATCGACGAAATACACTGCTGAGGGGAGCAGCGGGCATGGCAGGAGAGGTCTGCGTGCCACGTGGGACCCTCACCCGGTGGCCAGGGATCGAACCGGCGCTGCAGAGGCTGCGGGCAGCTTCGCAGCCCAGCGCTCAATGGCTGTGCCACCGGGGAGGCCCAGGATGACTTTGTGAACATAAAATTGCTTGAAAACAGAAATATTTTATGAAGGGTGATTATTATTACTACAGATTTCTGGATTAGACATGACATAAGGAAACTTCAATGCTAAAAAAAGATGAAATCTTGCCATTTGCAACGACATGGGTGGAATTGAAGGGGAATATGTTAAGTGAAATCAACCAGAGTGAGAAAGATAAATACCAGATGTTTTCATACATAAATTGAATATGGAGAAATAAAGCAAAGAAACTGACAAAACTAAACCAAAACAAAACTGAGCCGCATTGAGATTTCTAGAATGGGAGGGGTGGGTGGGAATCAAAGGGGAGGGGCCCCATGGTATAAGGTAAAGGGTGCTCTGGTGGAGGGTGTGGTGTGCTGGGATGTTCCTGAGGGTAGGTGTGAGCCTATTCCTCTGAATCAAACACAGTGTTGTAAAGCAATGTTACAGCAGTTAAAAAAAGTGACAAAAATAACATTTATAAATATAAAAAGCACTTGGATGATTAAACAAATTGAAAAGCTTATTTCTGTGATTCTCCTTGATAGACAATGTATTCTACCCTGTATGATTAAGATACATAACCATCCTTTTTTATTCCCATAAAGACTATTTTTTCCCCAGAGATTAACTCTACAACCATGAGTGATTTGCCTCACACCACATATTTAGGGAACCTTGGGAAAAATATTTTGTTTGTCAAGATAAGAGAGTCAATGTGCATCTTGTTGGCAGGATTCAGGAATGCTGCTAACTACCTTCACTGTAGGGATCCACACAAATATAAATTTTCAAAGGATATGTACTATGGCCTGAACATGGATCAGACATGCTGGTTCTGTGTATCTAGAACAGAGTGAGAATACATGAACAAAAATTATTGTTATAGGAATTGGCATAACAAAGATGATGGATTGTTTTGAGAATATAAAATTACTAGAAAGTTAGTGTAGGGTAAAGAGGACCCAGCACAGAACTTCAGGAAGAACCAAATTAAAAAAAAAAAAATCAGTGGGAGGGCAGAAGAAAAGGGAGCCCAAACAGCCTAGTCTAAATATTTTGTTGGTGACTCATGAAAAAGATGGTTAGTTCAGAAGCCAGAATCCCTCTGAAACAATTCCATTCAATATGAATCTGTATAATTGTTGACCCTCCCTCAGAGAGGAAATTCTGGAGAGTAAATTTAGTTTCCTTTGCCTTTATGACCTTGTCCATTATTCTTCATGAAAATTCATTGTGATCCCATTGAAAGTATTCTCTTAAATTTGCCAATATGTTAACATTATAACATGCACCTCCTAGGTTATCTACATACAATAGAGTCCAGAAACCAAATGAAACTTGGTAAAGCAAAAGATATTATGTGTGTTTCTTAGACTCTAACATTTTTTTCTCATAATAAAATACATACTAGTTCATCTCCGAATGTTTACAAAAAGTTAAAGGTATTTAACATACTCCTTTTCCTTCTATTATATATACTATATACATAGTTATATATAACTATGTACTATATACATAGTTATATATAACTATGTATATAGTTATATATATATATACATAAAATATACATATAATATATATAATATATATATAACTATATACATAGTTATATATAACTATATATATACATAGTTATATATAACTATATATATAACTATATATGTGCATAGTTATATAATTATATATATAACTATATAGTTATATAACTATATATAGTTATATATATAGTTTTATATATATATACATATATATATATATGGCTATATAGCAACTCCCTTGAAGAAATAAAGAAAAAAGGAAGAAAAGGGACGATGGAGAAAAATTAGTTAAATGAACATCTCACTCAGAGCTAAATATGGTAGAATTCAGAAATTTCCTACATAACTGGAAGTTCTGATTTTATTGTTGAATTGAAAAATAGCTTCCATATGGCAAATTTTTGAGAACTAAGACTGCAGGAGAATGAGAGGCAGATGTATGAATAAAGAACAATCATAGATCTAGACTTCATTTCCAAATTGCCTAGGAGAAAAAGAAGGGTGACAAGGACATTTACTAAAATGGAAATTACAGGTATAAGAGCATATCTGTATTGAAGTGGTCTTTAGATGTTTTGTTTGTTTGCAAATAGGAACATCAGAGAAGGAACACGGTTTTGTAAATGAAAAATTTGTGTATATTAATTTCTCTGGATTTTTCCTGTGGTGAAAGACAAAAGAGATGAGCAAGGAGATTTCTGCAGTCATTTTATTGCAATTATTGCAATTAGAAATTATTTCGGGGACATGAGGTGTAGATGGAGCCAAGGGGGTTGAGTTAATCTCTGCTGGGTCCCTCATGGTTGTGTCTAGTGTAGAAAATCCCTCATGCCGTCTTCATAGCCGTGTTCTACACGTTCATTAGAGAACATTAAAATTGGTGACCAGCACCTTTGTGCTTCTCTTTGAGCTACTTAAACATATGCTGTGCCCAAGAATAGCACAGACATTGCTGCTAGTTTCATTGGAGGATGATCACACACATGACTTCAGACTTAAAGAAGAGGGGAGTGTCTGCATTGCAGAGACAAGAGAAAGGCATGGAAGTCCATACCAGACCTGTCCACATATAGGCTAACGGCCATAACCCTGGATGGCTCCGATTCATGACATTGACTGGGTCCTGTCACAGAACACAAAACCCAAAGGAGTGTGACCTGAATCTCAGGGCAAGAAG